TGACAAAGGTAGAGACAGAGATAGACAGATAGATGATAGATAGATAGATAGATAGATAGATAGATAGATAGATAGATAGATAGATGATAGATAGATAGATAGAAAGAGAGAGAGATGGACAGATGACAGATGATAGATACTAGATAGGTGGGCATAGTAGACACATGATAGGTCCACTGACCAATAGACTGACCCAATAGACAACAGACAAATACACACACAATAGACACACAAATACAGAGGCCAACTGATCAGCACTGGATATTTGTGTGTGAGTCATCGTTGCAAGATTCTGGTAAGCTTCTTGGGTGGAATGACACCCACATAATAGAAGTGTGACACCCCATAACTAGGAACATACCTGCGTGCTCACGGATTCATTCATGTAATGTGTAGCTACTTAAACGTGCAGAGTGGACTGCAGTCTGGGTGCTGAGTCAGAAACAAGGAACACAACAAATTCCCTTTTCCCAGCAAGACTACTTTCTCCTGGAGAAGGCGGAAGGAAGTACAAACAAAGGCACGTATTACGGCAAGACTAGGTAAGTGAGATGAAGAAGCACACCTCCTCCTCCGCAGCAGGAGGGCCTATCAGGGGCATGAGACCTGAGGTGGGATTTGGGGAAGAGGCCCAGTGAAGGCGCTGCAAGGGGGCAGCCTGGGAAAGAGAGGCCGCTGCTTCTCCTCCTCCTGAGGGAGGGCGGGTGTGGGTGAGCGTGTGCGGTGGCCCACGGCCACATCACTAGGGTCTTGTAGGCCAGGGGAGCACAAATCTATTGCCACTGGGCACACACCATCATTGCAAGACTCAGCTAAATTCCAGGCAGGGTTCTGCAGGGCCTTGCAAAGCCCTGGGAGAGCCCACCTCCAGCCAGCTTTATCTCTGGAGTCCACGGTTGCTGAAACGACAGAGAACCTGAAAACTGCAGCACACAGGGCTGGACTCCTTGGCAGGCAGCAAAGGCGTTGGTGGAGGGAAGCTTTCTCCAGGAAGTGGAAGGCGTTGTGGGTGCCTCCTCTTTTTGTTGCTTATCACATTTGACTTTCTTGTGCTCCGTTCAGACAGGGCATCTACGCTGCAGCAAAGCTTCAGAGCCGGGGTGGAGGAAAATGCAGCTAAATGCAGCTTCTCTACTTATTCATAGGCCCAGGTTTCTAAAGGCATCGATGCCCAAAGACTCTCGTCCTTAGCAGGAAGTGGCAAAGGGCACCGAGACTGGCTGCAAGCCCAGCCTCCCGGTGTCCAAACCATACTCAAAGTTCTTCTGGAGCCAAGGACATTTTCCTGACTCGATTCCAAGCTACAGGGAAGATGCTGGTACGTGATGTTTGTGCACAATATGTGGGGTCAGGAACTGACAGACCTTATACTTACGTCAAATATGAAACCCCACTTATGAATCTTTGTTGCAGGAAACTGCTGTATGCGCTCCAAAACTAATTACATAAAGAATAATCATGATACGTGGTTGGCAGGCAGTTTTGTTTTCTCTTGATGCAGGCCAATTCTTGGTTCAACGTCAGTGACTCTTGGAACCAAAAAGGAAAATAAATTTCAACTCACACTCTCTCTGCTGTTCTCTTCCTTGTGTTTTATCTCACCTCTCAAATATGCATGCTCGATTTTTTTTTATTGGAAGCTAAAAGGTGCTCATTCTAAAAATAAGTTGTACTTAGTTCCATAAATGATTTTTTCCTGGTGACTGCTATTATCCAAGACTTGCTTTAGCTGAGGTTGTAGTGAAGCATGAGAGATGTTCTCTTTCACAGATTCTTTTAAGATAGATGTGTGTGTGAGAGAGAGAGAGAGGTACGCATATATATAATACATGATATGCATCTGCATACACAGTCTTTCTGATATGACGATGAGTTGCTCATTAGCACTGTTCACATACATCCAAAAAATATTTCCATGAAAAAAGATCAAAATCAGATTTACTTGCTTCGTGCTGATCAAGAGCTAGAAATTCCTTGTTTACCTCCAATCAAGAGCCAAGCACAATGAAAAACTCTTCAAATCCAAGAGCCACTCAAATCCGCTAGTACTTTTTAAAACTGGGATGCAAACCTACCTGTTGTTCAATTAAACAACACAGATTACAAAATGCTTATGCACACAACATGTGCGCATAGTCTCGGAAGGTACGCTTTGATTGCTCGACCAGTTGCCCAGATGAAGAAGCAGGGAATGTTATAAAGCACCATGGGAGAGAAGGCCTCTGATTCAATGGCTGCTGACTTTGCCAGCCGCATCAGCCCCAGGTGAACAGTGGGCTAGCTGACCACGGGAGCTGGTGGACACCGCACCAGCGATAGCCCCACCTCACGAGCTGCTCACCTTGGACAGTGCGAAGGAATGAATGCCACAGCCAGGTGGGGCCTTCAGGAGAGCTGCCCCTTGGATTCCTGTCTCGTTCTGCTTCTGGCTCTCCGCACAGACAGCTGAGCCACAGCAACAAAGGAACACCCTCTTGGTTTATACTGCAGTTCTTGGGGTTTTTTTCCTCCACCCCTCAGCTGAATGATGTCAACGAGCGCAGAAAGGAGCCAGGGGCCTGCAGATGTCTGGCGCTGGGCAATGGCCGTGCATAAACCATCACATTTAACATAATAATCAAAGCTGTGGTGGTGCATAAAACCCTGGGCTACTCTGCGGTCATGTGTGTAGGAATGTGCCAAGTTTCTACTTTATTGCAGATATAGAAAGTATAAAACTTGCCTGTGGAGCACTCATAAATGGTCCATGCTATGAGCATTCCCCGTGAGAAGCGAGGATCCCTCCCCTTCCTGAGAGCAAACTGGGTGAGCAGAACTGCCGTCATGCACTGGTGGGCCCCAGCCCACAAGATCCCTGATCCCTTGATGTGAAATGAGCACCACATGCCTGCTTTCTCGAGATTTGGCTACTTGCTAGGGTTTCAGTCACTGGAAAGCAAAATTTTGCACAACTCTTTGGAATATTGATGGACATATCTCCATGGACTATTACACTATGGTTTTAAAAATGATTACTCCACAACCACCTCCATGTGGTCATCAACCAACTGAATGAGCTTCCGGTGGAATGCGCACTACCTTACTCTATGAGATAAGGCAGTATCCAGCCAACTTGAAGGCCCAGTTTCCTTGGGGTTTCTATCACTTTTTAATCTTCAGGCTAGTGATGTTATGCTCTTCCAAGTTTGGTAGCTCCATCTTTCAATACATGGACTTCTCTAAATGCAAGGGAGATGGGTGCAAGCCCATGAAAGACAACCACAATTTTAAGAAAAGTTTGGAAATTTTGAATATGCCTCTTGTGCAAACATAAGAACTACACTTGTGCCGACCTGGAGCTGGAAGGAAATGCTTTTCTTTGGAATTAACTCCACAGTCACGTTTTCAATATGAACAGATAATCTTCCAGATCCTTGCCCTGTGACCCTCGGGAAGCTAATGTCGTTTTCCCATGGGAAAGACTTAGCTGTAGACTTTAGTCATTTTGGAAGCACTGTATTTGGGGTAGATCTTTTTAAACTACTGATTGTCTTGAGTCTTAAGAGTGAGAGAAATAAGTGCTTCCCTGGCAAGGGCAAAGGCCTGAGTTCAATCCCTGGTTCCACCAAAAAAAAAAAAAAAGAGTGAGAGAAAAAATTTAAAAATTCTTTTAAAAAAGAGGGGACAGGGAGATGGCTCTGTGGAATAAGTGTTTCCCTGGCAAGCACAAGGGCCTGAGTTCAATCCCCGGTTCCACCAAAAAAAAAAAAAAAAGTGAGAGAAGTAATTTAGGGACTTGAGTTGCCTTTCATGTTTCACGCCATTAGATAAGTTACTATCTTGCACAAAATCACGGGGGAGAATATATCTAGCTCTATCATCCCTCTCTCGACTGTCACTCTGTGAATACAAAGGAGACAAGGACAACAAAGTTCCATTTCTCCAACAAGCCTCCACTCAGGCTGCAGGAGCAGGCAGGGAGTCACGAGACACAGCCCAAGCACGTTGAGCGGGTCCTGTCCCCACCGTGGGATGAGAAGGATAAGGGTTGCTTCCACGGTGAACATGCCCGGCAGACACTGCTGTGCAGGGCTGCCCCGGGCAAAGAAGGAGAGGGGATGTGGGATGAAGGGGTTCTAGGCTGCCTCTCAGAGGGAGGAAGCTCGGGCTAGACCCAGGGGCGTGCTCCAGCTCACGTCGTGTGTGCTCAGTCACCCGCTGGGAGGGGCCTGTGGAAAGTGTGACCTCAGCAGTGAACTGCATGGCCCAGAGTCCAGGCCCCTGGCCAATTGCATGTCCTGGACCTGAAGGCCTGTGAGGTTCTGGTCAAGTCCCCCAAATGCATCAAATTGTCCTGCCTGAATTGTCCTGCTTTGCTGAAGAATTTGCAGCTGCCCTGACTCCTCTGGGGTTGTTATGTTGTAGATACAAAGTGCCCTCCCCCCAGGTCTCATGTTTAGAAAGTGAGTGGCTTGTGAGGGCGCCATCCAGGCACTCCCTGTTTAAGGACTGAGCCACGGTACTGTAATTAGGTCATTAAATAAACTGGTAGCTAAATGAGAAATTGTATAGACTATATATATATTCCAACATACAGAATGAAGAAATGGTCAAAGGAAATTGCAACTTAGTAACTTACTTGGCTTTGACTTGTATTAAGTCTTACATGCATTATTATAATATGTAACAATACAAATCTACAGTACTGTACTGTGCAATACGAACAGCAAAAATTGCAGTACTGTACTGTAGTAGAAGAAGCCATCGTGAGGTCACACTGCTGCTCACATTCATGCACCGGAAGTCCAAATGCGATCTTAGTCGGAACGAAACACTGCAGTCTGCAAGTCCAGGCAGCTGTTTAACAGGTAGGTCCACTGATGCGTTCACAGTTCACTGTGCTGTTAGAAGATGTGGGTGGGTCAGAACAGAAGGGGTGGGGCACTGTGGGGTGACCTGAAAGGGTGTGTTCTTGTCCCTAGTTTTTCCATTCTTTGTCTCCACTTCCTGGATGATATAAATTGAGCAGTGTTTCTCTGCTATGTCCTTTCAGCATTCTGCCTCTGCCTTGGATCCAGATGACCATAGATAGGACTCATCACCATCCCCTCAAAAATAAATAAATAAATAAATAAATAAATAAATAAATTCCAAATTAAACCTCTCATTCTTTCAGTTGTGGTTTTGAGGAAAGCTGACGAATACAGATTTTGGTTCCGGAAGTGGGGTCACCGCTATGATTGACTGTGTATTTTAGAAGTCTCTGGGCCTAGTTTGCAGGAGGAGTTTGGGGAAGTCCGCAGATTGGCACTAGAGAAGCTGTACAATGCTGTAAGAAGAGCTTGATGAGAACTGTGGTCAGAACTCAGCAGACCACAATGCTGATAAACGCCGACAATTACGGTTTTAAAGGAAAGCAAGGACTTATGGGAACTAAACTAGAGGCCATGGGAATTTTATTATGATTAAAAAAAGAACAGCTGTATCCATTTTTGCCCATGTCCTGAGAATGTGTGAAAGATGAAGTTTAAGAGCAGTTGGTTAACTGATTTGTAAAAGAAATATCACAGCAGTGCAGCAGTCAAAATTGGCCTGGGTATTGCTGGCTGATCCACAGTGAGAATCAAGAGCAAAAGCAGAGCTGAAATACATAAAATGTTTCAGGTTCTCAAGCAACAAATTATGTACAAAGTTGGGACAAAGGAGAGCATGATTGCTGAATTAATTAACAAGAAGCCAAGGGCTTTACATCAGGACAATGGGAAAGCTATTGTCAGGACAATGGGAAAGATAGCTTAAAAGCACTTCAAGAACTGACTAGACTTCATCCTTTCCAGGCCCAAGGGTGCAAAAGGGTAAACGCCTTTGAAAAAATTTGCTTTGAAGAGAGAAGCCCAGGGAACCCTGTTCATTCAGGGCCACAGAGGAAAGCGATTCTCTGCATCCAGCTATCCAGGCACTGTGAGGCAGCTCCAGCCATGATTCAAGGGGGCCAGGCTACTGCTCAGGTTTGTGGCAGAGCTTGGCATAATCCATGTGGTAGTGTTTCTCCCTACAGATGATAAGAATTACAAGGGCATGCAGCCATCTGCCCAGATTGCAAAAGAATCATTGTCCTCACAGGGCAAAGATTGAAACTGTGAGCATAAAGACAAAGGAAGAGACCCTGGAAAGTTATAGATGGCAAGAAAGTGGAAGGTCTCTGAAAAGAAAGAAGCAAACAGTCAGTGAAGCCAGCCTAAGGGAGAGTCCACGTGGCCTGCAAACAGCAATGCTGTGGAGGCGGGGGCTGCCCACATCCTTTAGAAATCACACCTTAACACCACCTGCTCTGAGTGTTGGTCATGGAGGATTGGGGCCTTGCTTTGGTCTGATTCGTTTCTACTCCCCTCTTCCTCTCTTTTGGAATGGGATTATTTCCCCTGTGGCATTGTACATTGAAAACATCGTCCTTTTATATTTTTACAGGGGCTTATAGCTAAGAGACTTC